AACAGAACGAGATAAATGACCCGAATGTTTTGCAAGGAAATGGCGCGCTCCATCCCACCCTTTCCATTGGGCTCTGTCGACATCGTTGGTCAAGTTTGGATCGAACGTCGGGTCGTCGTTTGCTATTCGACTGTCTGTGGTACTCTGAGATGTGCGCCGGCTCTCATTCTTCGCTTTCCGGCCAAGTACCCTGCCGGCTGCTGTTGCAATGACGCGCGGATGAAGTCCAAGAAAAGGCGTATCAAAAGCCACAAGACCAACAATCCTACTGTTCGGAACATGGCCAGCGGTTGTATAAGATTCGGCAAGTGCAACGTCTGCTGCGATGAGGCCTCCTATACTGTGACCGAGCAGTATGACATCCAAATCTGGGGCCATATGTGGCGATAACCTGCGAAAAAGAATGCTCAATACATAGGGCTAAGTGTGTTGCGGCTGAGGTAAATGCTTACCACCGGCTGATATCGTCGCGAGCAACACGTATAGGTCCTCTGGTTTTATAGCGGGGGTATATTTTGGTGTATGTGACATGGCTTTGAGCCAACGAGACCTTAAGGAGTTCGTGGACTTCTCTAGGGAAGTTATAAAAGCTGTCCTCTGACCCTAGAAAGCCATGGATGTATATCAGCAGTAACCTGCGCTTTCCTTCGTGTTTTGGTAATTCATCGGGATTATAAGAAGCGTCCCGCCATGAGTCGAGAGCAAAGTTGTCAGAGGTGTGTTCTTTCATTGTTGACCCTGAAGACCGTTCTTAGTAGAATATCCATCATGAATGAATTTGTGCTGACACAAGAAGTAGCGGCTGTGTGTAAGCAATGAGTTGCTCTGCAGTAGGTCCCAAAATATTTAAGTGATATTCAGAAGTAGCAGATCCTACGTGGCCGCCTGCGGCTCTATTCTTAGAATAAATCATGGGAGCGAATACGAGGTGGTAATGAGGGTCTTTTCTTCCCCTTTATTTTACTCGCTGTTGCAGAAGAATCATGAAAGGAAACATACGCCAAGGCGTAGATCAATGACGATTGGTGGCCTCCAGACCCACTCGTATTCGTTTAGATATTTAGACGTTTTCGATCAGCCACAGGCAAATGCATTTTTCTATGCCCTCACTGGCCATCCAGCCGTCGAATGTGTCTGGTACAGTTTCGAATGTGTTGATTCTGGAAGCCTAAAGTACGTTATGCTTAGGATCCACAGGGTTATCTAAAGTAATTTGTCAGGCTCTATAATCCATCCACTGGTTCTAGTTATTAAAGAGTTGTTAAAACGAAGAAAACGTGGTAATTAAGTCCTGCTCCCAGAAGGGATACCGATAAAAACCCTCAACCTCTGCGCCAACAAAACCATAGTACTGAGATTTCACATTTAGGCATCCTTAGTACTCAGTTTCTGCCGAAAAGTGGCTACGATATTTTCCGTCGCTGTATACTGACCGCTCTCCAGTAACCACGTTCCCTCAGAGTGGCGCTGTTGGGCGATGAGCTTTCTAATCCGGGACTGACCTGACGACCGTAAACTCTGCGCGATACCAGCAGTAGAGTATGCCATGAGGCCAAACATAGCGGAGCCGGATTTGGCTGCCATATTACTTACCCCTTTGCCAACTCCTTTGATCGCACCTTTCGCACCCTCCTTCTGAAGGCCCTGGTATGGCTTAACAACTATGTCGCTAACCGCCTCCGCCATTCCCCATGCAAACCCTTTCCCAGCAACAGCAAACCCGCTCTTGATGTCAGTAACTGGACCGTGGTCTCGAGGCTCTTCACCATACAGCCGAGGGACGTTGCGCAGCCCTTCAGCCAGAGCAAGGGGAAAGTCAACAGTCGAGCCCTTGATCATGGCAGGACCAACGCTGCCCAAACTTTTGGCAGACGCAGCTGCCATCCTACCAAACAGCTTTCTTTTGCCAGTACCCGATCGCTTTTGCGCGTCTGAATCCGCAGACACTGTAGAGTCGTGGCTACTGGAAATACTCAAACCGCGTGGCTCCTTCTCGTGATTGGTTGAAACAGTATGGACAGATAGACTGTCTGAAAGATTTTCGACGGAGAGGTTAGACCTGCTGCTTGAGAGTTGATCTTCGCGCTCCTCCTTGAACTTGTGATACTCCAGAGCAGGCTTGTAGAAGGCTCCTAAGATAGAGTCGGCAACATCGGTGGCTGTTCCAACCACTGCAGACGCCCCGCCCGTGACGGGATCCCATCGGCGATTTTCAATGAAAATTGGGCGGATGGCATGCCTATAAAGAGAAGTTTCATCAGAAGCTGAACGAAGTCAAACGGAAAGCAATATCCTCGAGGTTGTCAATCTCTTGTACGTACATTGTCAAACTTTTTGCGTCGATGGATCCATCGGCGATTAGAACCTCTGCGGCAATCTTTGACAGCTTGAATTTCCTACGTTTTTGGCGGAGCGACCACACTGCAGGTAGACCCGGATCTAGATCACACTGCAGACATTCAAGTGGGAGGTTCCGGTGAAATGAGGCGACTGCAGCCTTTACACCTGCTTCGGACTGCATCTTGGCAGCTATAGCAACGGCTGACATGCGCGCTTGCTCGCTAAGGCAGTATCGAATCCCTTCGGCCAGCCTGTCGACTGTAAGGTCTTTATGTGGAATGGGAGTAGGACCAGCGCCCGCTGCAGCGACCATATCTCCCCAAAAGGGCTGACTATGGGGATTGTTAGCAAAAGATAAAATCGCGGTATATAGTCTTCCATAACCACTCACTCTGCAAAGAATGGTACGACGATTGTGGGCTTGGATTTTCGTAGCCCGCAAGCGGTCGTGCCAGCACCTCCATGATGCACAACAGCTGCCACGCGGTCAAACAGCCATTCGTGAGGGCAATCTCCGATGAAATAAATGTTGTCATCGTGCATCCCGCCTAAGTTGGACCAGCCTTTGGAAACAATGGCCCGTACACCTGTTGTACGTACAGCGTTGAGGATAATAGCGGTGATGCTTTCTGGGTCCTCCAATACGATACTACCAAACCCAATATAAATCGGGGGTGGACCAGCAGCAAGAAAGGCCAGCAAGTCTGCTGGGGGATCATATCTTGGTGGATCCCGGAAGAAGAAGCCACAGACGTCTTCGGAGGGGGAGGGGAACGCTGTTAGCATAAGGGTGCATTAGATATGGCGGATATAGTGACGACTCACCGATATGAGAAGGCCAATCTGACGGCTTGGGAATGAGAGCCGGGGACCAGCAGTATGTGAAAGGTATCTTCAAAATTTCCGCCAGACGAGGCCCTTCAAACATAGCTACTTCGTCCAAACCAAGCTCCTTCCGCCAATGATTGATCACATCGCCCACCCTAATCGCGTCAGTATACATCACGCAAACTATTTGTTTAGGCAGAACTCCCTACCCTTGCCAAGTCAGCCAGTTAACCACGGCGTAAGAAACAAAATTCCTGAAACCTTGGTCTTCGTCGCCACTGCCAGTTACATTTGCCAGGGGGTGAGGAAAGGCTTTCGTGCTGGTCCACGGCATAGTGAACATCAAGTGTACGGGAATACTTAAAGCCTGGGCGCAGTGGATGTGAGCAAAGCTGGGAGGGTTGGCGATGATGGCATCAGCTACGAACGGCAGCTGTGTCGCCATATCAGGCTCAATACACGATCGCCAGCACCCGTCTAACATTTTCCGGATCATGGCTCGTTTGCGCCCGATTTCACCTGCCTGTAAGCTCCGCATACTGGGGATGAGACCAGGATTCTTGACCATGTAGGCCATCAGCTCCTCCGGGTCGCCCCCGATAGGATAAAATTCTAGCCCTGAGCCCCGGACGAAATCTTCGAATACATCATGAGTAGCCAGTCTCACCCGATGTCCATATCGCTGCAGTTCATTTCCAAGGGCAATGAATGGTTGCACATCCCCTCGACTGCCTACCACCTGGATCAGAACATTCAATTTTACCTTCCAGGAGCTTTCTAGGTATGCCGGCGGAGAGCCGAGACTCAAGTCATTGTCATTGGCGGCTTGCGGTTCTATGTCAGAATACTCGGGCGGTGGTGTCGTAGGTCGTGGTGAATAATGAGAAGTGTATAACTTAGAGAATCGCCGTACCAGCGTAGTGTTGTAGTCAATATCAACGCGCCCGTCATCTGCAAATTTAATCAGCCCCGTATCCCTCAATGGCTTTGCTGGAACCCTCCCGTGACGGTCGACGAGGGATGCATACTGGTTATTTTGATGCCGCTTTTGCGGTCGGCAGCAATTGGCGTAGGGGGGATGATGACTGGATCACCTGGTAACTCAAATACCCCGGGATCGCTGCTGCTGGCCATGGTAGGGGTCATAACTGAATCCCCCGGCAGCTCGAATACCTCCGCATTTCTGTTGCTAGCCATGGACTGAGCTGAGACGCAGCGAATGAAGGAAGATGCAGAGCAATCCACAGAATCTTAGAGTACTCGGAGGACAATGGTGTAAAGATTAAAGATTTACATTTTGACTCCTCTGGAAACTATGGTAAGGGGACGGCGAAAAACAGGGCCCCCAACCAAGTGCAGATCAGAGAAAGTGGCGTGCCCTGAAACTTAGCAAGAACACATCCTTGGGTAAGGATGTGCCAAGTACCAACCCAGATATACGAAAACGAGCGGGGCCCCAACAGGACGATCGTATCGGAAAGCCGGGTTCATACCAGTGATGCTCCTGTAAGACTATTTAGTGTTGAGAGATCATATCTCGCAGTTGTGTCATGGCCATTATCTCTGGTCGACTGGCGGTATGATATTAGATATATCTGTGAGTTCATTTCTATTGCTGGTGGGGGCTTTCTCGTTAACAGCCACACCAGGTCAATCTCGACAGTTTTTGCCACTATGATAAAGCTATGGACAGGCTTTAAGAGTATCAAATGTAAAGAAGCACACACAGGTGCAAATCATCAAGTTAGATTACCTGCTGAATTGCTTTGCCTTCATCGTAAATTCTACATAAAAGCTCTTATCTACTTCCAAAGAGAGTCGAAAGCAGGGCAGTCCTCCGTTCGTATTCGTATAGATGGATCCCGCAGATGAATGGGTCGTGGGAGAAAAATTGCCAAACCCCTATTGCAGGAGTGGGATCTCTAAATGTTTATTGATTATAATGTTTCGATAGTTTCAAGCCACCAGCCGATTCCTGCTGCTGTAAGAGTAGTTCCCCTGATCTCTCAAATGGCAGGCGAAGAGCCGGTGGGAGGAAGGCGAACAACAGTGGTGGCCAATATGGGACAAGTTTTGTTCCCTAGACGTTTCTCGATAGTTCGTATTCAGAGATCATGTCCGAATTCTGGAACTACAAAACCAAACAAGCTTTGTATATTGAAGGATGCCGCCATCATGTTCTCGGGCATGCTGCCATGCACCGTGGTGTCCGCCGTCACAGGGTAGTGAAGATAGTTACTTGGTTCCCAAAATTCCATAATGTCATCTTGCAAGCAGACATCATTGATACTGCTGGGGTTGTTCGTTTGAGCCAACTGCTCAGAATCCTAGCTAAGATTAGAAAAGAAACTAGAATAAAAATCCCGATACTCAAGACTTGCCTCGAAAGCTAATGTAGATTCAACGTTAGAGGAGCCTATTCCGCACGGTTCTGCACCTTTTTCCTCATCTTCCCTTTCCTGCATCTCTGCCTCTTCTTGTTGCTGGTGCTGTGGTTGGTTTCTGCCATAATCCTTGATATACTGTCTTGCGATGTGAGCGAATTCGGTCAGAAGTGAAGCGGGCACAAAACCCCCAGACTTGTACTCCAGTAGACTAAAATGCCCAGCTGCGACATCCAGCAGTGAGAGATTATTGAGGGTTTCCGGATGCATCGGGTTGTGGATGACAAAGTCAAATAGAATGAATAATGCTCCAAGTGGTAGAATGGCCAGAATGCTGTCTCAGAAGTTAGCCTTTCGCACAGCGACCACGTTGAAATCACTTGACTCAGCCTGAAAAGAGGTGTTCTTGCTCACAAGGTCGGCGTATAGGCAGCTATGTCGATATTCTTACTTTCCTCCACAACGGCTCTTGCTGTATCCATCAGCAGCCGTCTGGCCTTCTCCTGCGAAGGAGACTGATTTTGTCGACCTATATAAATCTCAAGTCTTGCCAGGGCGATGATCAAACCATAGTACGAGAACTTGGTTTGGAGTACAACCATCTTAAAACTCGGCTGATGGAAGGAAGATGAAAAATAGGGGACCACGTGCGGCTTATGAGACTGAGACAGCATACCAGGACGGTATTGCTCTGGTAGTGCCGATCGCCATCGCTCCAACCGAGCTTCAATATTCTGGATGGCGGCATAATATGACTCCGGAGGTTGGATTGCAGCACTCACCGAAAAGAGGGAGGTATATGCAAGTGAAAGAATTCGCCCGAAGCTGATGGCCGATAAGAACCAGTTATGCCCTTCAAAGACGGATTCTGGGACATCGGGGACAGGACAGCCGATATCATGATCGGGAATCATCTAGTATGAGATCAGTCGATGCTCACACCGCCTGACCCTAAATGAAGCCAAGAGTTTGTTAGTATAACTTTTGGTCACGTACCGAGCCTTTGTGGTTCTGAAAGCACATTCCCTTCTCCATGTAGTAGATTACCCAGAAGGTCCTATGACAGGTGTCTTTGTACCGTTGGTCCCCGTTGCTCAGTGCTCGATGGTATCCAAGGCTTTGAGCCATTCGGGCAGCTTCCATCAGCAAGACTTCGTCTATCTGAAGACAGCAAGTCGTCATGGCGAAGATTGACTAGATAGATTAAATCAATGAATTAGTTACTCCCAGGTCTTTCATATCAATTGTCCTCTTTCGGCGCGGGGGTATTTCTCATCTCAGTGACATCGCCTTACCATGGCGACCAAAGCCTATTTCAATCTTATCAGTCAAGTCCACTCTATTGCCACAATATTGACGTACTTGAAGACTCATTAAGGCCTCCCTGGGAATCAATATATCCGACACGAGGCCCAAAGAAACCTGGAAAAGCTTCCACGCCCTGCCATTACCTGGGTCAAAGGCCCCGCCTTCATGGTACCGGCATCCTAGAGCCAATATTGTGTGATACAGAGCCGAGAAAGCACAGCTAGATGCCAGAGTTTCAGACAGGTTGGGCCCGAACACTTTATCCTCAAACTTTTGACGATCGAGAAAAGGGTAAATCGGATGTAGTTGATGGAAGTAAGCTGTGCAGTTGAGGCACCAATCTGTTAATGAAGGAAGAGAAGGCTAAATTGGGGTATACGTGGAAAGACACCGAGGAAGACCAAACGAGAAAGGAAAAACACACTATTGATGTAGAGCCTGACATTTTCCAGCGAAACGTCCTCTGTATCAGACGGCTTTCCAAAGGTAATGAGTGAAATCGAGGATGGACCCTCGGCAAGAAGTCGCGATCGGATGACGGATTCGATGGTCTCAACCAGCTCCCTGAGTCGGTCATTGCCCAACCGGTGCGACAGAGAGTTAATTCGGCGCTCCGTGAAGAAGGCAAGGCTGGAACTAGTCACTTCAAGAAAGAGATTCAGAGAGGCCGTGAATGAAATATAAAATACAGCGGCAGCATACCATCATGATCGGACGCCTGGGAATAATAGTCAGTTCAACTCTATAGAGATGGTACTCTGTAACTGACCCTTAGCAAAGCAAAATTATCCCTCAGTATGCTACTGCGACCCTTATTTTCCAACATCTGGTCCAGAAACAGGGATGAAAGAGTCGGCTGAATGCAGGCTTTTTCAGCCCAGGAGTTGACGAGCGGTATGTGGTGTCGACTGGTTGTATGATTCCCTTGATCTTTTAGCGCCCAGATTATGCATGTGCAAGAGACGAGAAATAGTACTGGCGAATACATACTGCTGGTCTGCGGTGCTTTTGATCTCAGCTTACGTTTGGTCTGGGTGAAATGACAGGTCTCGTTGCGTTTCTAGATCGATAACCCCTATTAGGACCATCGGACCAATAAAGATATTCGCTTGAATGGTCAATGAACATCATACAATACAGTGGATGCATCTCGAGCGTTGCTGGGAATCCACTAGAATCGATATTATTATCTTCCGCTTGTTCCCCAGAGCAAGAGGGCCCGGAGGACAACGTACTGATGCAGCGAACTTTCCGGTTCCTGCACTGGTCACAGGCTTTGCAGGTCTTCGCCTCGGTCAATCGGCCCTTTTTCTGATCGGTCGCCATTTCGGGCGATGTAAATTTCCGCAAACTGGAAGGCGCTCGGCCCTGGGTAAATTGCTCGGACATCATACTATCGTATCTGGCATCATAATCTCGGGGTGACAAGGAGAGAAGAGGAAGGGATTCGGTGTTGGGTTTCCTTAAAATAAAGTCTCGGTCTTCGGCGAGACACACTGCGCCACAACACTAGGGTTCCTTCGGAAGTTTCACTCCACCTGCCCAATGCTAATTGATCGCCCATGCCGTTTGCAATTCCATCTACCAAAAGAACCACGGAATCAGCTCGCACATAGTTGGTCTCCCCTTGAAGCTGAACGAGCCTGCTTTTACATGAAATAACCAAAAAAAAAAAAAAAAATGTCAAGACGAAGGGTCAAAGATATATGGATTTGATCTATCTAGATCTCAAGAAGATGGTTGGTGGTTGGTTGGTTGGTTGGAAGAGATGGTGGTCAGAGACCACGCTGGAAGAAGAGGCGAAGGATCAGCTGACAGCTGCCTGGCTGCAGTGAATGTCTCAACAAAAAATAATAATATTTATCTTCAGCTGGAATAAAAGGATGACCGGTCTCACTCGAAAATTGCTACCACTCGTCGGTTAATGAGATGTGCAGAAGCGCGCAATATTAGGATCAGCTGTTACAGCCCTGTGTTAAGTTCAACTCTGCACAAGCTCGACGAGGAATGTCGCAAATGCATCTAGAGTAGAACGCATAATAACCCACACTCAAACATCTATAATTAGGTTTTGGCTATCGCCTTGACTTTCAAGTACTCAAAGCACTATAGGTTTGATGAGGGTAGCTAGCATACAAACACTCGTCTGCACCACCTTTCAGATAGGATAGCTGCGTGGCTCTATTCGGCTTCATCTCTCTCCTTCTGTTCACCATCACTATTTCCTTTGCTAGTCCTATCAGATCCTTCTTCATTCCAGTTTGACAGATATGTATGTTCAGGTAACTCATTTCACGGATGTCAAGTAGTGGTGCAGGGGTTCCAATACCAGCTGATAGTGGCTTGTTAGAACACATAGTCAGGAATGAAGGTGGCTACTATGCCTAGGAGTATCAATTGCATGATTTATTGATTGGCTGAGTTATTAAGATACATATGTTTCGATTACTGTTAACATTTGAAACAGATTGATGGCTAGCCTTTCCTACATTCCACCGTTGAAATGCACTATTCAGCACAGTATGTCCAAGCACGGATGCCAATAGGGTTTTGTGTATGTTCTCCATGACAGTAATGTCAACCCTTGCTCTTTCTTGGCACGCGAACTAGCTTATACACAGCTAAAGCCGCCACGGCATTAAACACAATATAGACCAGAACAAGGGCGAAATTCCTCCAGCGATCCTCGAAGCGAATATTGACTGTAGAGAGATAATCATTCGTGTTGCTCAACGGACAAAACTTGCAATGCTCGGTGTTATGTGGGTCGACCAAGTATCCGCCGGACAACGAGATATAAGATGCCATGTACGAGCCACATGACTGACCTGCTGGCGGTAGAAACCTAACATATTCATTAGGTGCGCATTCGATCTCCGCGTTCGCTACACCGGTCGAAAGAAGACCTGAAGCGAGCCAGGTAAACGGAGAGACATAGTACATGAATATCCAGAAGCCGGGTAACGAGGACTTTTTGACGAGGATACTGTTTTCGTTATAGTGGTAAGTTGAGTGAGGTTATCACAAGGAGCAAATAATGCTCATATAGTGTCTAAAACAGGGGCAGGAGGCAAGAAATATTAAATCCACTTACCCACAGAACGTCATGCAAAGCATGTAGCATATATTCCCAACACTGCTAGCAGAATCGGCACTGTCCATCCCAGCGATAAGGGTGTGCGTAAAGGTACTAGTGAACATCATGAAGGCCCAGATGAACAGGAACATTAGGCAGCCGCGCGGTGCGACTTCGTGGGTGGAGGTAGCGTTCTGATACAGTCCGATAGGATAGTACCAGGAAAAGTAGGCCACCACTGCCATCAACGTGTTCCAGAAAATCTCAATCGCGAGGTTGCTCAGCATCAAGACTGTGTCATAAGTTAGCCCAGTCGGTGGGTGTGAGCCTAGCCTGTTTGTATTGAAACACACTACGTGCCCTACCTTTCCAGTCATACATTTTGGAGGGCCTCTCACGCGCCTCATAAACATCTCGCTGATCGATGAACTGAGGCATAATCTGCTCGCTGAGTTGCCCGAACATGCTCAATAACATCATCACTGCGTACATCTGGTTCTGAAGCCCCTGGATGGTGTTCGGAGTGTTGTAAAAGCTGAAGCCAATGAACAAACTCTGGAGATTTTCAGTTAAACTGCACGAGCAGATAGTGTGTAAGACAGCCTTGCTTAGTGAAAGTACTTACCGATCCCACGGTGAGGCAGACTTTGGAATATATATACGACGGACTTCGCCAGTATTGGGCTGCGATACGTTTCTGAACGAGCCACCACTGCTGCAGAAAAGACGAAGCATAAGCCCTATTGCTTGGCTGTCTCAACGTGTGCATATGAGGTGTTACGCCTATGGTAGTCCTAGATTCTCGGAGCTTTTGCAATTTCGCTCGAACAGACTGGTGCTCAGGCGAGTCTCGCCAGACCCTCGGCCAATCGACAGTGGTATCTGATCCTGGTGCGGCGCCGATCTCTTCCAACATCCATTCAGCTGGATTGGCGCCTGGAGGACACTGTGTTCCTCCGTTGGTCTCCAAGTATCGGATGAGGGTAGCCGAATTCTGCCCAATTTCTGGCAAGAATAATGATTTCTACCGTTAGCACATGCTTGTCTGTAGGCGCGGAGGGACGAACCTCCAAAGTACACAGTTTTGCCGCCTTTTGCTAGAAGCAGCAGATTGTCAAACTGCTGGAACAAGATAGCTGACGGCTGGTGAATGGTGCACAGGATGGCCTGGCCACTATGTGCAAGTCGTTTCAGGAGCTGGCAAATAGTCCACGATGTCTGTGAGTCCAGTCCAGAGGTCGGTTCATCCAAGAAAAGAAGCAATTCAGGCTTTGCAGCCAATTCAATAGCAATAGTAAGACGTCTGCGCTGTTCGATGTTCAGCCCTTCACCGGGGATACCAACAATGGCGTCCGCATACTCTTCCATCTCAAGGAGCCTGATCACTTCCTCCACATGGGCGAGCTTATCCTCCCGTGGCACGTCAGAAGGCTGCCGGAGGAGTGCACTAAATTCAAGTGACTCTCGCACACTGCATGTTGAGAGATGTACATCTTGCTGCTGCACATAGCCTGTTTTGCGCTGGAAGGAAGTATCACTTTGCGCACCGTTGACGAGCATGTCGCCCGTAACGACCCCAGTAGTAACCCGTTTGGCAAGGACGTTAAGTAGGGTCGTTTTTCCGGCACCAGAAACACCCTAGGATTGATCTTGGTTAGGGTTTTCCAGGCACTGGTATTATTAGTGAGATCAATTTACATACCATCAAGGCAGTCAAAGTTCCAGGTTGAACCCATCCGTCGACATGGTCCAGGATCCGCCGAACCTCTCTCTTATTCTTGATATCGTAGCATACGTCTTGCCAGTGGAAAATGTGGCTTTTAGCAGGCAGAGTGTCCGTGCTTTGGATGCCGTCTAACTGCACCATCTTGATCCCGGGTGGCCGGAGCGCTTCTTCGTCACCAACCGCCATGCGCCACGTAGACTTCTTCTTGACAAGATGGCTACGGCGAAAGATGAGTACTTCACCCCTACTCTTAGCCATACTGAGCACCTCAGTCGCCACCAGGTATGCGGTCGTGAAGATGAACCAAAATGCAATCAAAACCCCCACATTCCTGTAAGACGTCAGCCACATTCTCCTATTAAAGCGATCTAGCTTCCGGGTGATAATTGGAGCAGTTTACCTCCACTTGTTGGATTGGTTGTAATCGAATTTGTCGTTGATATATATGTCTCCCTGAATTGTAGTTGAGCCGATCGTGTTTCCAACCTCTGCACAAGCTTGGTTGTGGACACCGGCAGCATGGTAGTCTGGCCCTGAGGGGACAACGATTGAGCAGGAGAATTCACGGTTGTGGAATTCATTGATCATTAAAGATTCGAAGGCGTAACTGAGCGGATTAACATAAGCCATCCACCGTGACCATCCGGGCATATACATGGTTGGCATTGTGAAGCCAGTGTACATGATCAGACCTAAAACTAGTAAGGCAGCGGGTACCATTGCCTGCGACATGGTACGCGAGACCGATGCAATCGTCCGAAATAAGCCGGATGTCACCATCGTGCTGAGAAAAGCAACGAAGAGGAAAAAGAAAACAGCCCCGGCCTCTCGTCGCAGGTTAGCCATCAGATATAATGTTAGATTGAAGACCAGCGTGTTGAGCACTTTATACGGAATGTCAGTGAGCATGCTGGCCACAGCCTCTGCAGATGGGTGGTAGAGAGCAAATTGCTTGTGTTTCTCCACCACCGGCCGTTGCTCGTACAGCGTCAGAATCTGGGCATGGTTAGTGTCGGGCGTTCATGGAGTAGGCCAATCTATCAAATATCAACACATATTTACCTCTAAGACGCTAGCAAATGCACTTAGAAGCAGTGCAAAGAAGATCAATCCTCCTCTGCCATAAAAGCTATTCGTGTCGTCTTTCATATTGAAGAAGACGCTTCCCAAGACCAGAGCCATGACGGTATTGCCCCCAAGCTGGATATACGTCAAGGAGGGATCGGCAAGCAGACGCTTCCAGCCACGCCAAAGGCATAATGTTGTCTGTTGCATATACGACAATGTATATGGAGATTTCATTCTCTGGCTGCTCGCCTGTTGGGCCTGACGGGAGGCCACGAACTCATCTCGACTATCGCCCCCGAGACTGAATTTCTTCTCGTACACCTCAATATGGCTCATCGGTTGCTGGCGCTGCTGACTTTTTTTCCATATTGTCTCAAAGTCCGTTGCCGTGACAGGTACTTTGTATGCGAACCCTGGTCGCACACGCCGTTCCTTGGGACTGGTCATTGAGGTGAGAAAATCCGGTGTCGTCTGTTGTTCGGGGCCTGCAGATTCTTCCCGTTAGAAACAACAAATATG